TCTACAACGTTTTTTTAATTCCTGTGTGCAAATGGTGATTTGTACAGCTAAAAGGCGAGGAAAAAAAAAAAAATATATATATATATATATATATAAACGCGTTTGTAAGGCGCGACAGTCTCATGTAGACGCGTGCCCATTGGCAATTTCAGCTTTTTTTTTTTTTTTTTTTTTTTTTCCTCCCATTTTGGTCATACGTTTTGCAAAATTTACAACATGCGTACATCGTTAAAAAAAAGAACGCAAAGAAACCAAGCCACATTAAATAGGCTTTAAACATATGTGCATGAAATACTCTTACGGCCAATTCACATCTTTACACATCTCGCGCAGTCAACCTTCTACAAATGCAAGCCTAAACGATGTATGTTAAAAATTTGGGTTTATCTACCCACTGGCGTAGCTTTCTTTAAATTCGCTTGTCCAAGCAAAGGCACGCATTAAGCTTTCTTTGTGACAAAACTTTTGCTCTTAAATAGGTGCTTGCAAAATGAAAGAAGTCTTATCCTTAAAATGACGCCCCCCCCCTCCTATTTTACCTTTTGTCCCCCATTAGGATGGTAATTAGGAACAACGTTACCATAACGTTTTATCTGCATAAAGGAACCACCACGCTGCCTGCACCAATACACGAGTGTCAAGTACTGCGTGGTCGTACATGTTGCATCATTACAGGGCAAAAATCTCGCAACTGATGATACGCATGCTAAATTGCGTAGCTTCCAGCAGGAGCATGAGTCACATGGCACCAGAATGATCCGGCACATTTAGCATACCTCCTTGCCTCCTGTTATTTCTACATCAACCACACGTAATGTATTCAAACGCGTGGCTAGCTATACATATAATGACTGAAATTACACGGCTACATTTTGCACCTGCACAACTTGCCAAGTACACTTTTTTTCTTATACATAATTTTTTCAATTGAATTATGAAGTTAAAAGTATAAAAGAGTTACATAACGTAGAAAAAGGGATGGTTTATGCATTAAAAAAAGGTGTACACACTATACATATGTGGGCCATTATATATATATGTGCACACATAAAAACACATGCATATGTACATGCATACACATAATTATATATATGTACATCACAGAAAAATGGAATGCTCTACTTGCAGTTGTACTCATAAAGGGACTAATGAATCGATCATTTCTTGTACGCTCTAGACTTTCTTCTTCCTCGTGCCTTTTCAAATTTTCTTCCCTTGGAACGGACGTATGGTCTGGCCTTCGATTTGGGTCTACCTGGGGCTTTACCGAAATGTTTCTCAGCCGTTCGGGCCTTGGTGGGACCTCTTAAAAGTATACATTTCTGTCCCGTGGGGTATTTCAAAGCTAGCTGATCAAAGGTTAGGCATTCTCCTCCAGCATCCAAAATTCGTTTTCTAGCCGTTTCGGTAAACCTCAGAGCGCAAACTTTTAACTTTTTGCAATCATATAGCCTCTTATCATCTGAACGGGGAGAAATGAAAAAAAAAAAAAAAGGGGGCATTAATTTGGGGAAGAACATAAATGTGGTATATGGCACAAGCACGCGTGGGTTACATAAAGTGTACACAAAAACGACTCCCAAATGAAGGCTCATCCGGAGGTGAACACACAAAGGGAGAAAACAACATGCACACTGTTCTTTGCTTGCCAAAATTAATTTATGCATCACGAACAAATGCAACAACGAGCAAAGCTCAAAACGGTTTAATTGAACTTCCACAAAGGAATGGTCAGAACGTTCTACCATCTCCATTAATTACGTCAGAAGACCGTCGTGATTCGTAGAAACTTATTCATCATGTATATTCAATCGCGCACAAGTGCGTACGTGTGTGGATAAAGCATGTACATACATGTATACGATGTGATGAAGCATTTACGTTATATAATTGCACACACCCACTTTTGGCTCTGCAAAAGAGAGCAAATTCTGGCTTACCCGTTACTGATCCAACGACGACTGCTATGTTGTCCTGGTAGTTGGCCATGTGGCGATGCAACTTGGAGAGCGACAAGGGAGGCCTGAAGCGCTTTGGCATAATAAGTCTTTTGGCAATTATTTTGTTAAAATTGGCGTTCGTTCTTCTGGCAAGAAAACGGTATAGCTTCACAAGCAGCCTCAGGTACGGGTTTTTTGACACCAAATTCTTCCTTCCATGTTTTTTTATCCTACCAACATTTTTAAGTGCGATACCCTGCGGGGGGGGGGAACAAACAGGGCGAGATAACATGGATTGAGGTTGGAAGACATACACGTTGGGGGTACCACCGTGCTATCATTTATATGTACAAATTGTATATAGGCGCACGGCGTTGGTGTTTAAAAACAAGAAATCGGTCGATGTGGATGTAAACAACTGGGCAGTCCATTTGGGATTTCCCGAGTGGTACATGCACGACGACATATATGCTT